CCCTCTCTCTCACATAAGACTCACTGCCTCTCTCTCTCTCTCCCTCATGTGGCACGATCTCGCAACTTTACCCCCCCTCGACCCCGACCTTCCTTTAACCCGCCCCTTTTCCCCCTCCCCCCATCTCTCTCTCTCTCTCTCTCTCTCTGTGTGTGTGTGTGTGAGTGTCTCTTTGTGGCCTATCTCTATCTCCCTTCCCTCCGCCCTCTCTCTCACAGAAGACTCCATGCGCGGGGTCAAGGTGGGCAGGCGGGAGGGGCCGTTGGACTTCAGTGCAGGGAAAGCGCCGCCCTGCAACGGCCAAAAACAGCCTGGCTGTAATAACCCATGCCATATGTCGTCTGAGGGTTGAACGCGGCAACCCTCAGTCCAGGCCACATAAGGGGGCAAAGGCCCTAAGTCAGCTACAGGGCCTGGACGCCAGGCAGTTGACCGTAGCCAACTGCCGGATTTCCAAAGGTCAAAGTCAAAGTGTACCCAGCCCAGGCCGCCGGTCAAGCACACACACTTGTTTGTATGCAGGTACCCGGACAGCATCCAAGCCAAGTGGAAAACTGCAACTGTGCACGATCCAGACCTTCGACGGCGGGTCAATCTGGACGACTGTGACTCGTGGACTGGAGGCCAGACCTCCGAGTCAAACACTACATAAGCTGGGGTCTACAGGGAGTCGACATTCAGTCTTGCTATGCTGATTCAACGCTGGCTTGACTTTGACTTGACGCTGGCATTATGCTAGCGCGACGCTGGCTGTGCATCAGAGCTGCGGACGACGACTCGAGGGAGATGCGGCGCTGGCATTATGCGCCAGGCATGCTGACGTGGCGCTGCCTATGGTCTATGTGGCATGATGACGTGGCGCTGCCTCTGATACATGTGGCGCTGCCTATGGTCTACGTGGCATGCTGACGTGGCGCTGCCTATGGTCTACGTGGCATGCTGATGTGGCGCTGCCTATGGTCTACGTGGCATGCTGACGTGGTACTGCCTCTGGTACATATGGCGCTGCCTATTGTCTACGTGACATGCTGACGATGCGCTGCCTCTGGTTTATGTGGCGCTGCCTCTGGTATATGTGGCGCTGTTCCTGTCTACGTGGCGCTGTTCTTGGTCTTCATTGATGATGTGGCATTGCCACCTGTCTCATCTGCTGATGTAGCATTGTCCACACTACTTACATGAGGTGACTGATTGCGAGGGAGAGTAAGATCAGGGCTGTGGGGAGATCGAGATACGTACCTGGTGGTCTTCATGATGACATTGTTCCAGCGCTGATGAGGGACTAATTAGAAGTGCCACGTGGCACATTGCTTCAGATACTAGTTCAGACTGTTGATTACTAAAGTGGCATTGGAGGAGGGAGCCCGAAGAGGAGTGGGCATCTTCCTCTCCTCTGTCTATTCTCCCTCCTCTCTCCTTCGTTTGTGAATGATTATCTCATCTTATTCTGTATGGACACTATCTTGTAATAAGCCGTCAGAATACAGACTGAGAATACTGCTGATTTCCTAAGCTCTGCATATGGGATGGATGCCTTGCTGAGATTCCCGCATTCTGCTGGGATTTCTAAGTCTGTGTGTGTGTGCACTTGTAATCTGTGTGCCTGTATGAGTGTTTACTGGTATGTGTGTGTGTGCGTGCTTGCAACCTGCATGCCTGACCGAGTGCTTGTCGGTATGAGTGTGTGAGACCCGCGAGGGTACTTACGTGTTGGTAGGCCCAGAGGGCCGGTACTTACCTGTGGCCGTGGCATTGAAGGGTTGCAGCAGGGGAAAACACTCAAGTGGCGGAGCCAGGGGCCCGCGGTACTTGAAGCAGCAGAAAAACACTCAAGTAGCAGGTAGGCCGGTACCGCACCCCGTGGCGGTAAATGTGAGGGGTACTGGAGTCCGAGCAGAAAAGACAAAGTTGGCATTTTTAGAGGCCCAGTAGCGGTAGGTTAAGTCTAGGCCGGTACCAGTCAGTCCAGTCTGAGTCTAGAGCCTGTACGGGTAATATCAGAAGTCTGCAATGATGTTTCCCTCCAAATGGGAGGAGGTACCGGTTGCTGGGAAGGCCGAGTGGCCTGGAAGTCACCGCCCAAGAGGCAAGCAGGCCGCTATATCTTCAGGCCGGGCAAAGAGCCCAGCCTCATTGTTCAGTGTGCGAGTTGGGCGTCACGCTGCTGGAGCGTTGGGAGGAGCAGCGCTAGCTGCTTTTAGCGCTGCAWGGAAGGAGAAGCCGGGAGCTTCCACCTAGGGCTATGGTGGAGCTCGCCCGGTAGGAGGAGGAGGGAGAAGGACTGAGGGAGGAGAGTGACGAGGTACTTACCTGGCTATGGGAGACACCATCTTCATCACCTTGCTAGGCGCTGCATCTGGAAGGCCCGTTGGGTAGTGCCGCATCAAGGAAGCTCAGGGCAGACTTAGGCATGGCGGTTGAGTGAGCAGCTTCATAGCTGCCAAGTGATGACCTTGGAACAGTGGGCAGCGGCATAGCTGCTGGGGTTGTCCGTTGCAAAGGAGGGAGAGACCTCCACACCCTGCCATTGCCAGGCCTATGGGTAGAGGAAGAGGAAGGTGGCCATGGCTATGGTGGACTTCATATGGAGCCTGAAGTAGAAGTGGGATTCGGACATTGATTCTGGTTCATGCCATTCAACATTATTATTGTTATTTTTGTTTGAATAAGAGAGGAGGAGATAAGGAGGAAGAGATTGGTTGGCGGAGAAGAAGAGCCTTGTCTTTGTTATATGGTGAAGTACATCATCCTCCTCTATCTTACTTCTTCATCTTCTTCTTACCCTCTCTCTCCCCTCTCAAGTTCATTCATTTCTATTTGCAATTGGATGGCATTGTACTTTCTGATCTTTGTATACTTCGAAATTGGCCAGGATCGTAACAATCTTAATTATTGGTTCTCATCAGTTGTTGACATCTATCTGGACTTGCACTGTTGATAACCGTTCTCACAATCTGGGTTCATTACACTGGCCCTCTACACCGGGCCCTGCCGGTTGTCCAAAGATCGCACGGCGATCCACGCCTTTCCCGGCCCGACGGCCCCGATTGCCCCGCGATCTGAAAGTTTTAAGATCGCGGGGCAATCCGGGCCGTCCGGCCAGTAGGACCGCGGACAGCCTGGATCGCCGCACGATCTTAAAATCTTAAGATCGCGGGGCAATCCAGGCTGTCGGGCCGGTAGGTCCGCGGACGGCCGGATGCCAAAATTCTCACATTAGCGATTTTAATCAGTGTACGGACGTGGCCAAGATATGGCCATGACTCATCTCCATGCCATGATGGGTCAGTTCCCGGACGCTAAGCAGAAAGTTCCAAAGACAAGATAGAAGAGAGAGATTCACTCAAATGCATTCATCTGGAACTCTTGTATTAGCTTAAGGCTGCAAATTGTGTATGTTAGACGGTGAATGGTTTACTCACATTGGCATGCCAAGTGGATATTTCCTTGGTCGCCCCCGTCCTCGAGGCCCACCCGTAGGATCAATCAGACGGCGAGGCTTCAGGGTCGATGCAGATCCCAACTTTGGTGGTCGCCCGCGCTTCCTCTGCACAAACCAAGCACGGCAAAGGCATCAAGAACATGACTGCGTGAGTGTCCAAGACTCTCAGCTGACCCAAAAACAACGATGAATGTCCTGGCTATTCCAAGGGGGTTGATAGGCAGGGCTAAATGCTAAGGTGAGGGTTTATGGTTTAGGGTTTAGGGTTGTTGTGGAGTTACACAAAATGCAGCTAAAATGTCAGTATCTGTAGTTTTATACTCAGGACTATAGTAACTTCATCTTAAATCTTTTACACCTGCTTTAAATCCAGCACTTGTTTTAGTTTCTGTCTGTGGTGACCTAATTTCCTTCCTCCTTTTCAGTCCTGGATGTATCTGATGATTCTGACCAGAATTCGGACCGGATTCAGTCCAAAAAGCCTGTATGAAAAACTGATGCACATGCTGACAAGGGTGGATGTAGGAACTCTCAGCTCACAATTGCATCAGCTGAGAGGGGGCTTACAATGTGAGCATGGCAGGCAGGGTGAAAGGCCGAATTGCACTGAACATCCTCCATCACAATATGCTGATCAGGATGTGAAAAGATTCCAGACACATTCAACATCAGCCCCAGGGTAGACGCTCCACATGTTGGAGGGTTCGCCGTGGTTGTCCCACTTTCAGAAAGTTGATTTCATCCCTCTCAGTTTCAGGGGTTGCCACACTGTGAATGACCCTTCCACTGACTCGCAGGGTAGCACCACTCTTACAGCATCCCAGGGTGGAGGGTTCGCCGAGGTTGTCCCACTTTTTTTCAGAAGGTTGATTTCATTGTCTACCGCGTGGGCATGGCGAATGCAGTCCTCAGGTAGCCAAAGCAACTATATGTGGGAACGTGCTCTAGATGCAAGGAATTATTGAGTGCGCCCAGGTCGCAGATAAATAGCTAAAAGCATAAAAACGCGGATGCAAGTGAAATATATAAGAAAAACTGATATGCTGCTCATATTTCTCTCTATCTAGAACCCCCAAAAACAATCAAAACTCAAAAATTGAGTAGTGACTTAGCTAAATAGGATGCGGACCCTGTTTTTGCCGATGTGGCAATGAGCAGGTGCGTGTTGAGGTCCGAAATTGAAAGTCGACCAGAGAGATAGAATGGTTGCTGGGCATACAGCCTCTGAGGATCCGACTCGTTGTAATCAACGATTCCAAATATTCAACGTCATGACAATTGAATTACAACTTTGGTTTCCCGCTGATTGCCCCGAATCTTGGATTGTTCCCCGGTGTGAGAATTCGGAGGGAAAATTGTATAAGCAATGTTCAATCAGCAGGAAACCACAAAAAAGTACGGACGCTCGCCCTAGCCAGCGACCGCCGAGCTGTTTGAGATCCTAAAAGACTTTACGCATCACTTCTAAGCGGGCATCCGGTCTCCTTTCTGTATTTATTATGAAGTAAACCAACCACGGGTAGCGTTGCCGAAATGTGCGTGGAAAAGCACTTGGTCAAACCGAGCAACAGGAGGATCGCAGCTCCGAGGCCGGCTCGGGAGATAAAAGTCGGAACCAGAAATGCATAGGGAAGAAAGTCACATTCACACCAGAGAAAGCAATCCAAAAATGAATTTGACCTAAGGTTTCCAGATATTAAAGTCCAGAGATTTTGCCTTGCTCAAATCTATTGTGAGGATTGAGCCCTCAACGGGGTCTTGCCGACATGCATATGTTCTGGGCATAGGCCCCCAGCAAGCCTTGTGCCCGCCCTAAGTGAAGGCGGGCCAGAATATTCCCTAGAGACCTTCATTCAGCATTTCACGAAGTGGGTATCAGACAGTTGCCGCACGCCAGTTGGTTGGAGTGCATAGTGAGCCTCAGACTCCTGCAAAGGCAGTTGAGCCCAGGGCCTCGGTTGGTTGAGCCCTGGGCGACAGTCTGGGAGGCCGACACATCACACATTGGTCCCTGGCCTCAGAAAAGCAGTATTTCGTCGTCGAGGCCGAGCAAACCAATGGGAAACCAGTACAGGGCCTGAATCTGGACAACGGCCCTAGCATAAGGGGCGCAACTGTATGACCTGGGGCCCATCTGCATTGGGCCTGGGGGCCCAGGCCCAGGCTCTAGGCAGACCACCCACACGCAACACTGGCATATAGGCAGAACAGGCGAGTGGGCAGGGATCTTGGCCATTGCGAGCAAGGCCGGCACGCTGTAGCATTGCGAGGTGCTGCGCTGCGCTAGGCTGAGAGAAGGCAGGCTGGCACTAAGCGGTAGGGCGCGGCGCAGAGCGCTGGCAGCCATAGCCGGGCTGCATGAGAGCGCTGAAGGAGGTGAGGGCGAAGGTGGTTCTTCGGAAGGCGAAGGGCTTTGTGTGGGATAACAAGGGAGAGTGAGGGAGAAGAGAGAGACGTACCTGGTGGAGAGGAGGTCGCCATTGGTGTTGACGTCATCACTCGCTGGTAGTCAAGTTGTCTGGTTGCTTCCATGCAGTTGTAGGGATAGGCTGTTGAGTAGATAGGGCGCCTGGCGCCATTCAAGAGAGAGAGCTACATTGGGTTATGCTGTTGGTGTTGCCCGATTGGGCTTGGACATTGACTCACGATTCTGCTGTATCGTTCTCAAATGGATGGTTTCTTGGTTCCATTGTGCTATCTGCTCTTGCTTTGACTACTTGGACTTCAGCGTGATTTTGCAATTTGGATTTCTATTCTTCGTCCACATTCATGTTCCTTGCACTATTGTAGTGGAAACAAAAAAAGCCACCAAATACCAAAAAGATGCCAGTTATTTACAATTTGATAGAAATGCTGAGACATCGCAATGATGTGCTGCACGTCAAGTCCGCATGGC